ATACCATTCACGAGTTAGGGCAGCCATTGTTCCCCAATCCTGCAAGAAAATGGAGTAAAACAAGGGAATTCGTACTATAATTGAATCAAAGTAGGCATTTTTATAAAAAAAAAAAAATTAAAACCCCTGAAAAATTAGGGAAACGGGGGAAAGATATAGGGGAGAGGGTTGGGGTTCTTACTGCGCCGGCAACGCTGCGTTTGGATTTGATTTTGGGCAAGAACTTGTTGAGCGAGAGAGAAGGGAGCAGGGGTTTTGGTTTTAGATAGGGTTGCGGGTTTTAGAGTACTAAAAATGTTGGACTTTTTATATTAATAAAATTGCAGATAACCCCTCCTCTATACCTTCAATATAAAAAAAATCCCCGCAAAACTTATTTATTAGCACTTAGCGGCCTCAATCCGAGAGAGAGATGGGTGTTAGCTGCAATTTATATCTGCAAAGATGGCAATCTCGATGTGCTAAATGCTATTACGTGAGTTGAGAGGTTTATCTTCAAATGAAAGTGTACATTTACACGCAGGGTTATCAGCAATTTACCCTATCAAATTTTTGATTAGGGTGAACCTAAACCCGTTAGCGTGACCGTTTGGATACCATGGTGTTTTACTTCTTTCCATGGTGTTTTTGTTAAAAATAAAACACCATGCGTTTGGAAACCATTATGTTTTTTGAGCTAAATCATTCTCAAACCAAAAACACAATACTTATTTCAAAACACCTTTTAGGTGTTTATATAATAAAAAATAATAACAAACTTATTGATAATAAATAATAATATAATAATGATATAATAATATACTATGCAATAGTATGATTGCTATAATATTATTAACTTTTTAATAAATAAATTTTAATAAAGTAATAATTATTAAATATTATATAATAGTAACATATTTAATAATAACATAACAATATTATAATAATATTATAATAACATGTTGTATAGTAAATGTAATATAATATATAAAATATTAATATATTATGTAATAAATAATATAATTTATTATAAATTAAAATAATTTTTAATAATAAAATAATTTATTGCTAACAAATGTTAATGTAAAAAATTATATATTCATAATATAATAATATTTATTTATATCAAAAATACTAATATATTATTAAAGTACTATTAATAAACTCTAACATATTAAAAACTATAATATATTATATAATATTGAAATATTTATAATATATTAATTTAATAATAACATACTAGTAATAACATAATATTAACATTATTAATAATATTATATTATATGAATAATAGTATAATATTATATTATATTAATAATAGTATAATGTTATATTAATAATAAAATAACATTATTATGAAAATATTAATATAATATACAACAATAACAAACTGATATAACAAAATAATTTAATATATAATTATTTGAAAATAATATGTAATCATTATAATATAATATAACTCATTAAAGTACAATATTATATTATAATAAATTATACAATATTATATTGCATTACATTTAATACTTATAATACTATAATAATGTAAACTAAATATTATAACATTTTATTTACAATATGTTTTATTATAATTAATATATAATATATTAATAATATGTTTAATACTAATGTTATAATGGATCAAATAGTGTTGACCAAAAATACTTAACATGGTGTTTTGAAAACATTTGAAGGAAAAAACACAACACCATGATGTTTTTTAACAAAAACACATCAAGGAAAACACCATGATATCCAAACGAAGCCTTATTTCAGAAGTGTTTTTTTACGTAAACCACCTATTTTATAGGGTGATTATACAAATTCCATCTCCATCTCTAAAGTCCAATTTATATAAAAACCACCATTAAAGTGGGTCCCGGTTATAATAAATCAAATTGACCTATTTTCTGATTAAACGAGGGTCGTGTTTTGACTGGGAAACGCGAAGTTGAAGTTCGCGTTCAACGTAAGCTTGAGGTCCACGTTTTGGCTGTAAGACACGCCATTGAGGGCCACATTCAGTCTGGTTCTCGCGAAGTTCATGTTTGGGCTCATAAACACGAGGCTTGTGTTCTAAAGTGGAAACACGAAGCTCAGGGCCGCGTTTAGGCTCACGAACGCGAAGCTCGCGTTGGTTGGAGGATCGACTTTCAGAGAGGGGACTGTATGAACAGTGCAACCCCCAGGGGAGACAGCCCTTTGATGAGTCGGTCACAATTGGAGCTTTAGTCTCCTTAGAAATTTTGTGGATCTTACGCATAGCCTTGGGGCTAAGGGATCCGGAGGAGATAGCCTCCTCAAACTTGGTTTGATCAAACTCTACCACGAGAGTTTCGACGGTTGTTCCAGTGAGATGAACATCGGATTACGCCACCACTTCTTCATCAGAGAAGCTCGTCCCCAGCGGAGTCGCCATCTTTTGTTTGTGGAAAAATTTGCAGTAAAAAGACAGTGAAAGAAAATTGACTTGTATTCTCCCAAAATCGATTACAATTTGGATTCCGATTACAAAAGAGGGGAAAATGAATTTGATTCTCCCCTTTGTTTAATTCTGGGTTCTTCACGGTAGCGATGGAGTGCCTCCCTCGAATGCTTGCGTCGAGTTTGCTCTCCGTTGACGATCCGCACGTCTTGATTCACTGGAACGATATCTTCTCCTCACGATTTGACGTTGTGGAGAACTTGCGTGGCAAGTTTGAAACTCTTGATGAGTTGATAACTCTGAACGAGTTTTAACCCTTGAAAAAGAGTTGATTTGAACCGAAAGTTCGGTTGATAAGCCAAGGATGAAGAAGCTCTTGTTGCAGATCTCCCAAGCTCCAGAAAATGCTCCAAGGATCTCTTCTGCTGCTGTCAAACCGAGATCCAAGTCCCCTCTGCTCCAACCTCGCTGCCAAGTCTCAGATCCCAAAAGCCAGTCTGAACTCAATCGAGTTTACCCATATTTATAGAAAATTAATGGGTGTAACCGCCCCCCTTAATCCGCTCCTAAGTGGGGCGAAAATCCCTCAAATCGTGGAGGAAAAACGGTTCATGCAACCGTTCAGCTCGTGTTTGAACGAGTCAAACGCCCACGTCGGCGTTCAGGACCCTAACTCCGCGTTTTAGAATGGAGACGCGGAGTTGGGTACTCGCTGGGCATTGAAAAACGCGGGTCCGACCCCAGGGTTTTAATGTTGTAACGCGGGTCCGACTCTAGCGTTTTGATGTTGTAACACGGGTCCGACTCCAGCGTTTTGATGTTGTAACGCGGGTCTGACTCCAGCGTTTTGATGTTGTAACGCGGGTCCGACTCTAGCGTTTTGATGTTGTAACGTAGGTTCGACCCTCGCGTTTTGATGTTGTGACGTGGGTCCGACTCCAGCGTTTTACTGTTGACACATGGGGAGGACCTCCGTGTTTTGGTGTTGATACACGGGGAGGACCTCCGCGTTTTGGTCTTAGAGCGCGGTGATGAGTTCCGCGTCTTGCTTTGGAGAGATTATCAACAAGTAATCTCTTTTGTCATAGCGTTGCAAAGATCATTGTCTTGTAATCTTCGTCTTGGCTCCTTAAGAATATGAGAGTCGTCAGATTGTAACTCCCGATATTGATTATGAATGCTATTAAACTAGAGCTCTCATCGGTTGTCGTGAAGGTCATCAGATTGTAACCTTCAGCGATCTACGTGAAAGTCTTCAAATTGTAGCCTTCTGGAAGTCGTCAGATTGTAACTTTCATCATCGGTGTTTGATGGGGGATAAACTATCTATTGTGATTTTTAGACAGTCTACACTCTTGAATTATTGGATTTTAGGATTTGTGCACGAATACGGTTGAAATTCATTTGATGCACATTTGCACTCTTATCTATAGAACCCAGTGCAAAACTATAGCTAGATCGTAGAATTCTCTTTAAAGTGAAAAGTTTATAGCCCATGTGAAAAAGTGGCTGGAGACAGGCTAGCTTGCACTTTTGAGAGATAAAGGTTCTCAAGTCTCATTTCATATTTACATCTCCTTATAGCTCCTACGGATTTCAATCGAAAGTGGGAAAGCGCAATATGAGGATCACAAATATTGAAATCCATGATAAATACACCCCAAGGAGAATATAGAAAATTTGGAATTACTTTACAAAAGAAATATTTCAATTACAGTAGAATAAGCTGAAAAAATCATTCGGCCAACAAGTATTCAACTAGATTAAAAAAAAATTAACTTGTAGAAAGAAGTAAAAGAATCATAAGCAGTGAACCATCAAGTACTATATAATAAAAGTAGATATTACAACATGAAAAAAAAAACCCATTTATGTCTATATCTGTTAGATACAACAGAAAGAATGAGATTCATCATTTTTACAAAGGAAAATAGGGAGGAAAAATAGAAAAAGATTATACAATTTGCTCACAGGAAAGAATTTTTGCAAGACTTTGGATGGCTTACATTTATAAGCGCTACACTTGATCTTGGCAAAAAGCTAGAGAGCCACAGATGACAGAAGCTTTATGCATTGATCCAAATCTTGATGATGAAGTCACTCAGATACAGAGAAAACCCTTTGCTAAGCAATGTATCAACAAAGATCTGCATCCCTTAACTTGCATGGTGATGCACATGCAGCTGAACGACTTCATGAAGGTGAAAGGTAATCAACGTCGAAGCCATTGGGATCCGTCATACTTGCACCTCGCCTGTCAACACAACTCATGGACATAAGAAACCTAATCCCTAGGTAAGTTTCACAGAACTGAAGAAGGTAGGCCAAGTTTGAGATAACCCCTAAAAAGTTTGGAAATGTCAACCCCCAATAACTTATGCATTTTTCTGAATATATTTTTAGAAACCCCTCAACTTTTTGCAGGGTTGTCTGAAAAAGTTTTGGGAGTTCAGTTAACATTTCCAAACTTTTGGGAGTTATATCAAGATGTAGCAAACTTTTGTGAAGTTTACCCAAGAAAATCCAATAGAGAGCCTCACATATGTAGGAAGGAGAGGGTGATATCCGACGTATCATGAATCTTGATGCACCATATGACTAATGTCTATCAATGACTGTCGTCTACCAGTACAATCACCATTGCACTGATATGCCAAATATCACCCTCTCCTTCATCCCTACACAAAATTCTATAGAGGGCCCTCTATAGGATGTTTTCCCTAGATTGCACTGGAAACGATATGGGTACGACATATTTCGAGTATTAAAAATGCAGATAAGCTGTGGATATGACCAATGTAAATTTGTATGCATGTGAGTTCAAATTATCATAAATTTACAGAGCTGGTATAGTTCAAGAAACACAATAACGCAAGTGTTTGTGGAAAATTTTGTAATAAGAAAATAAAGGAAAGAATTGTATTTGATTTTATTCTCTAACTGCTTAGAACAAGAATGCTTACAACTCTCTCAACTCTCAATTACAATTGGATTTCCTGATTACAAAAGAGAAGAGAATGATCTGGATTCTCCCCTTTGTTTAATTCTGGGTTCTTCCTGGTAGCGATGAGATGCCTCCCTCGAATGCTTGCGTCGAGTTTGCTTCTCGTTGACGATCCGAATATCTATACTCACTGGAACAACGGTCTGGTCTGGTTGATAACTCTTGACGAGTTTTCTATTTCAGAACAAACAACAAACTCTAATAATGATAGAGTTGTTTGAACCGAAAATAATTCGGTTAATGGGCCAAGTAACGACGGTTTGGAGCTCCTCCGTTTGTTGATTCCCCAGACTGTGTAAGGAGTCAATCCTCTTTCTCCGATTCTGGAAAATCTGATCAGAAGATCCTCTCCAAGTGATCAAAATCCGATCCCAACAATCCAAAAGATCTCCCTGAACTCTGTTGAGTTTGTTGATATTTATAGGGAGATTAGGGGTGTAACTGACCCCTTAATCCGCTCCTAAATGATAGGTTTTGTTACCTCATTAATCGGTTGTAACAACCCATTAAAACCACTCCCCAGATCATGGGTGATGAGCGGTTTTTTAAACTGCTTGGATCGCGTTTGAACAGGTCAGAACTTTGACATGCGTTCTGGCATAGATTCTATGTTTGAACGCAGCATCTGGAGGTGCGTTCTGCAGCGATATTGAGCTGCGTTCTTCTATGTTTGAAGGTGCGTTTGGCAGCAGTATAGAACTGCGTTCGAAGTCAGCTGGAGCTGCGTCTGGTAGCGGTTGAAGCTGCGTTCAGCTGCTGATCTGAGCTGCGTTCAGAGGCTGATCTGAGTTCGTTCAGAGGTGTACTTGGCAGCGATTGGAGCTGCGTTTGTGCTGTGCTTGGCAGCGATTGGAGCTGCGTTTGAGCTTCTCTGTCTTTATATATGGATGAAACCAATGGCCATTCGAGAAGGTCCTATTCGGGCCATTTGTGACAATTGAGGCATCTCAATAACGCTCTATCAACTGCAGGTCACGATCTCCACTAAGATTTCTTTGCATGGTTTAACCATGTGTTCCTCAGTGTGTCGAATATCATTACACTGCTTATCAACATCTCTAATAGTTGCTAATATAATATTAGTCATGTTGTTGTCGCAGCCACCAAGATCAATCATCTCACATAAGAAGTTGCATTCGTGTTTGCAGCAGTTGAAGCTGCGTAGGTGATTGAATTGGTGTTGTGTCTGGACGATGGTACACAGGGAGGACTTCCACGTTTTGGTTTGAAGAGATCGTTGATTTGTAATCTCTTTCTGTCAGAGCGTTGCTGAAGATCGTCGTTTTGTAATCTTTGCTTTAGCTCTTTGATATGTGAAAGTCTTCAAATTGTAGCGAACCCCCTCCAAAGTTTTCGAAAGTTCGCGGTTGACTGGGACGAATTTTCGAAACACTTTGGAACCCAAAAATTTTGTTGATCAAATGTATCTTATCGCAGATGGAGTAGAGCATCTTTGTTGACTTGGGTTTTAACTTGTTTGACTAAGTTCATCGTCTTCAGGGAAGCTGGGCATTTCTGAGTTTAAGACAGATCTGACGTCATAGATGGAGAGAACCACAAGCCTGTATAAGAAGGACTTTATCCCTAGCTTAGTCAGGAAGACGGTCCTCAGAGGGATTTATCTTCTCTCCTGATCATATCACCGTTACTTGGAATATTAACCCCCTTGAAAGGGTTATTTGTGTGATTGGCTGAGGTTGATCACCAGAACGCATGTCCAAATCATGCGTTCGACTGCTGAAACGTGAATGTGCGTTCGGAAGTTGAAACCCCCTTTTTTGAAAACGCAAGAATCACGTTTCGGGTGAGATTTTGCCTAAAATCCCGCTTCGATTTGACAGCTACAGCTGTGTATAAATGGGTTACTGAGGTCAAATCAAAAGGTCATTCGACTTTTCCCCTTTTTACTCGATTTCTAAACAGGGCTCCTGTTCATCTTCTCCAGCGCTTCAACGGAGGAAAAGATCCGTTCCTAACCCAAGAAGAAAATGGCCTCCAAATCGAAGACCGCCCAAGCTCCGGATGTTCCTTTGGCTAGAGCCTCCGGGGATGATCAAGTTCTCACGCCTTCGTCGCTAGTTCCTTCAACCAATGGTAAGATTGACCCATTGGAAGTCGATTTGACAGATCTCTCATTTTCGACCCTTGATTGGCGATCCGTATTCCATCTTTAAACTCAAAAGATAATTCTCAGTGTTTACCAATTAAACGTATGGCTAGCTCCATCGTTCCTGAAATTTCAACGTAGGTTCAGACCCTGCGTTTAAAAAATTTTGGACGCAGGTCTGAACCTTGTGTTTAGAATTTTGGATGCAGGTTGAGACCCTGCGTTCAAGACCCCGAACGCAGGTCTGAACCTTGCGTTTAGAATTTCGGATGCAGGTTGAGACCCTGCGTTCAAGACCCCGAACGCAGGTTTGAACCTTGTATTCTTGAGTTAGACTTCTTATGACTAATTTTTCTATTTGCAGTATGCTACTCCAAAGAGCCTCTTTCTTTCAACCACTACTTCGGTCATGCGGGAGGTGCGGAGAAGAATACAATCTTCAGCTTCGCCTTTGAATATCCAGTGTTTCAGAACACCCACAAAGAACGGTCGAAGCTCATCACTCAAGCCTTTCCTGAGACTCTCAGGTCTTTGGTTACAAATGCCAAATTCGAAACCGCAGAGCGTGAGATTTTAAAGAAGCCGTCCTTCCTATTCGGGGATTCTGTAAAAATGGACCCCAAGCGGATGTCCGAGGGGAATTACAAATGGCTGAAGGTAGTCAACAACCGTCGTCTTTTCCTTCCCAATTTGGAGCGGATGTGGCGATCTCTTATTATCAGTGCGCTTCTATCCCGCGGTCTATGAATTGGGAACTTGTTCAAGACCAAGGCGGTGTTGCTACGGGGCACATCACTCATCGGGGTACTCATCCCGCTGGTTTCAATAATTTCATGGCTTTGAAGCCAGGTTTATTCCAAAAAGAGCACCCTGTCGGAGAGTCTGCTAAGTTAGCGGAGGTGTTTATCAGAACATTTATTTCTGTCAAAGGAGAGTTCCCTGCTCGGGATTTCAGGGCCCCTACTTGGGTTCACTCCAGTGATGCGGACTGGTGGGCCCGGATGATAAATTTCGTCTTGGAGGAACTAGAAGAACCTTTGAGAATTTCGGATTTGAGAGTTCCAATAATGGCCACTCGATATGGCATTTCTCCGAATTACAGTGGACTCTTCGCTATGCTAGAATTCTACAACCCTCACACCGACACCTTTTTCACCCCAGTTGGTGAACTGGGCTTCGCTCTCCACGAAATGTTTGAAATTTCTGGATTGTCCTTTGGAGAATTGTCTTATGAGGAGTTTGTTCCCGGAAGCAGGGAATTAGAGATCCTGAAAAATGGTGCTCCCGAAGTTTACGACACTTACTGGGAATTAATGTGCCATTTCCAGATATGTGCACAAATTACCGGGAAAAGAGCAAGTGGTGTAAAACAAGGACAGTGGTCGGAGTATCTTTTTCGCAATCTATGGGACAAAGAAGCCGATGTGACTCGCTTAGCCGCCAGTACTCTTGAGGAGATCACGGAACGCATCAATGACGCAACCTCTCAATATACTTGTGAGGCCGAGGAGGATGTCTTCCCAGCGTTTACTACGTTCGAAAGCTTCCACTATCAGGCAGAAGTTCCTATCTCTGACATGGCTTTGTTCGCTGGTTTTCTGACTCTCTGGTTGAAGCGTTGTGTGGTACCCACAAGACCGGTGGATGCTATTACCGTAGAGGTCTTATACCCTGCTGTTCTATTGGCTTATGGACGACCCTTGAATCTTCTTTCAGCCATGGTGTGCTGCTTACAAAGTGGCTTGCGGGAACTATCTTCCGAGTTTATTGCTGTCAAGAAAATGGATTCCGACGGAAAGACTATCATTCAGACCCCAACCCCTCGAGTGCCGATGCCATACATTTATTTGGTATCTTGGTTCGTGTTGCACTGTCCTCCGATAATGACGACTCCTGAATCAAGTGGCACTTCAACTCCTCTTGTTCAGCAATTAGAAACCTCTAAATGGGCCGGTTGGTATTAAGTTAAATTCCGTAAAATATTGAGACAGGATTATAATTACGAGATTGCTTGCAAGTTTCCCGCTTTCGAGGGCGACGCGTATGGAGAACTTCATGAAGACACTCCGGGACCGAATTCTTTCACCATGCTTAGCAGGGGTGCCTTTTGGTGGCTCATAAACATTCGTCCGGGCTATCTTAT